GGTTTAGCCTTCCCATCGCTGGGTTCCCATCGATGGGTTAAAGTCCCCATCGCTGGGTAAGGTCGTTCTGCCTTTGTGTTGATGTTGGACCAATGCTTTAACAACGATGGGTAGAACCTCCCATCGCTGTTTGGCATGGTTCTGGAAGTTGGTTTGGCTAAGGGACCGCTTACCCATCGATGGGAAGTTCTTCCCATCGCTGGGTGGGTGGTTAGCCAAAAACCTATGGTTTTTGCCTTAACCACGGCCTAGCCAACCGATGCAAAAACTGACCGAAAAATCCAAAGTTCTCCAAAATAAAAACCAAGTCTTTAAAACACTTATTTGATCTATTTGGCTAAGAAATCAAGTGAGACACTTTAAAAACCACATCATTTGAATAAAAACCACGGTTAGCCAAGTTTATGCCGTTTTGCGTAGTTTTTGCCAAACGACCAAAAACGAGAGGTGGTTTTCAAAGTGTTTTTGTTGGAGAACTGTTTAAACATTCCAAGAAGTAAAAACCAATCATAAAATGTTGAAAAACACTTGGTTGGTTCAGACCCTAAAAACCAACGCCGATAACCGAAAGCCGAACGCCGGTTTTTGAAAGCTGAACGCTGGATGGCTTGGTTTTTGTTTTGGGCGAACACCAAGTGTTTTTAATGTTTTAAACATGTTTGAAAAACATTTTTATGATGTAAGAAATGCCATGAAAATAATTTCAGCCTAAAGAGCCAAGGTGTAAAGATTGGGTCGGTCTTGATCACAAGTGAGACCGACTCAACGACACTAAGACTACGGTCTTCGTCTTTGGTCTTCGTTTAGCTCTTGTTCTTATCTTCGTTCTTCGACTTGTATATTCAATGTCTTATCTTGATCACGGCGGTTTGGCATTATCAAAACCTGTCATAAAAACGAACACGGCTTTAGTACGAAAACGTGACAAGCCCGTGTTTCAACAGCCATTCCTCACCAAAACTACCTATAATTGATTGTCACCCTTGGCTAAATCGATTATCATCTCACGTGAAAGATCTGCACCCATCAATAATCGATTTACACCATCTTGTAAATTGACTATTACCCCTTTCTAAAAAATCTGCCAAAATCTCTCAAGAAACTGAACCCTCCAATAATCGATTATCCTTTTTGGACAATCAACTATAACCCCTCCTGCAAATTAAAGAGACTTCGCTCCTCAACTTCAAGATTATTATCAAAACACCCAGAGCATAGATATAATATTTGGTATCAGAGCGTCTTGTTCCTACATCCCAAAGGACCAAGAACACACTTCCACTCTTTCTCCTTTCCTTCATCCTAGCTACTGCCCTACCTTCATTAGTTCACTTCCTAGTTCAAAACATGTCTCACACCTCCCAAAACATCGCCAAGGAAGATTTAGTTGCATCCAATGCTGAACTCAAAGCTCAAGTTGAGTATTTGGCCAAACACGTGGCTCAACTTACCAAGTTGAAAATGAGCATGGTCCAAACTCAAGGTGAAAGAGAAGATGAGCAAGAATAAGACTCCCGATTAGAAGTTCCTTCTCCCACCATGAGAAGAAACAACCAAGAGAAGTCTTCCTCTGACTTCAAGGTTGAAATGCCAACCTTCGATGGAAAAAAGATGACCCGGATGATTTCATCGAATGGTTAGAGACGATTGAACGCGTCTTTGACTATAATGAAGTGCCGGAGGACAAGAAGGTCAAGCTTGTGGCCTTAAAATTTAGAGGCTACGCATCCACGTGGTGGACTAACACTACCACCAAGCGCAAAAGAGAAGGCAAGGCTGCTGTTAAAACATGGACCAAGATGAGGGCTTTATTGAAGAAGAAGTTCATTCCCACTCATTATATAAGGGAAAACATTGCTAGCCTTCAACATTTAAGGCAAGGAAATCGGTCCGTAGTAGAATACAACCGAGAGTTTGAAGAACTCTTGATGCGGTGTGATCTCCAAGAGAATGACTCGCAAAGTTTTGTGAGAGATCTCTTTGGCCTAAACACCCAAATCGCCAACACCGTGGAGCTGCAAACCTTTAAGAGCCTTGAAGAGATAACCAAGTTAGCACTTAAAGTGGAAGCCCAACTCAAAAAGGGCAAATCTTCTTTGAGTCGTGGCACTCCCAATCACATCAAATTCCACCCCCCTTGATTCCCAAAACCACACAACCCCTTCCCCTCAAAATTCTAAAATCGTGCACCCTATTTCCTCACCAAGTGCTCCTCCTCTTTCAAAACCAAGTTCATCAAATAGCTGAATGCAAAAGTGTTTTCGTTGTTAAGGCACTGGTCACTATGCTAGTGACTGCCCAAACAAGAAGATCATGGCTATTGTCGAATGTGAAGAAGAAGAAATAAATCCATTTTGGGTTCAAGGACAGCGGAACGAAGAAGAAGAAATCGTCGGCCCCGATGAAGGTGAACTTTTGGTCATTCAAAAGACCATTAGTCATGCGGCTACCCAGGATAATACCACACACCGAGAGAGTATTTTTCATACTCGATGCACCATTCAAAAAAAGGTGTGTTAGATGATCATCGATAGTGGAAGCAGTGCCAATGTTATCTCCAAAACAACAGTGGAAAAACTCAATCTAGAGACATTGCCGCACCCGGAGCCTTATGAGATTCAATGGTTGAATCTTGATGGAGTACATGTGAATACACGTAGCTTGATTTCTTTTAGAATGGGTGAGTCTTATCAAGATGAAGTTTGGTGTGACATTATCCCCATGAAAGCTTGTCATCTCCTTCTTGGGAGGCCATGGCTATTCGATCGGAGAGTTATCTACGATGGGTTTGCTAACACATACTCATTCGTGGTGAATGCTAAGAAATTTACCCTTTATCCGTCAACACCAAAATCCCTACTGCCCCTAAAGCAATCCTATTTCGTACTGATATATCTAAGCTCCGGGTTTGTCGGTATTATGCTCGGATTTAAGGAACCTGCTCCTTGTTTTGCAGGAAGGGTGGATAATCGATTCTCCAAGTAGGATAATCAATTGTCAAGTGATTCAATTTCTCAGGAGGAACTTCAGAAGTTTCAGGAGAGGTAAATTATCGATATACAAGAAGTGACAATCGACAATTGAAGGCTGCAGATTTTATGGGAAAGAGTGATAGTTGATTGTCTTAAAAGGGATAATCAATTATTACTACTTGTGGGTGTTTCAAATGGAAGTGATAATCAGTTGTGGGGAATGATAATCGATTATTTGGCAGTGAATCTAGTCAGGAAGAAGGGTGTTTTTGTGGGGGGTATGGCTGGAAATATATGGAGATGATAATAATTGGAAGAGGAAACGTAAGTCAGTTAGGATTGAGATTTGGGAATCCGAAGGACTCTGTATTTTTATATAACTTAGGGGACTCTTCTTCTTCAATTCCCACAAGAGACGAACCAAATTGATGGGAGAGACGCCGGAGCTCGCCAGAGAGAAATTCACCGATAGACTTAGCCGGAAACGAGAAGAACATCGCCAGAGTCCTTCGCCGGAAATTTTACTTTGATTCAAGGTGAGTGATTTATCTCGCTAAAATTAATTCGTAGATTAGCATTTGTTAATATATTTTCAAATCAATTGAAGTTGGATTTGTAAATTCGACTGTGGAATGCGTTGTATTGAATTGAAAATTTAGAAATTTGGGTTGCAATTATACCCTACTATGTGTTCTTCGTTGCCATGTCCTGTTCTCTGTTTCGTTCTTTTCCCTACTTGGCGTACTGTTCCTCTTCTCTCTCTCTGCTCAGTTTCTCTTCTCTTTCTATCTATTCTCTGGTTTTGGGATCACTGTGAATATGTCTTCGCCGGCTTTGTCACCGCCGGATGTCACAGTTGGAGTACGCTGTTGTGACTGCCGCCGGAGCCTCACTACTATAAAGCCGCTGCGGGATCTGCTGCTACTAGTTTCACCCATGGAACGGAGGACGACTTGGAAATTATTTTGAGGAAGTAGCGTACAACTGTAGCGCCTAGTTGGGAATTGAGATTTCAGTTTTAAAACTTGCAATACGGCCTGAAAGCATTGACCTTCAAATCATGTAATAAACATAAAGTAAAATATTTGACTCCAAATTTCTAAACTAATGATTTAATGATATATTATATATGTGGAGCTAAAATTGAGAAGTAGGCCACCTTATAGTACAAGGCGAATTTGTGTTTAATCAGGTATTGTAAATCACAAATAGGATTGAGATTGGATATTAAGGTCATGCAGGAGACATCGTACACCTGATGGTCTCGTGGGTTAAAAACGTGCGCACGGTGGTCATTGACCCCTGGCGAGAGCCAGCGGGGGCTCAACTCCCTCCATTGCGAGAGCTTTGGAGTTATGAGTGTGGGTTTGTCCGAGAGCCTGGATTTCATTACTCCCGTAAGTATGAATTGGTTTATATTAGCACGCACATGGAGTAAATATGGATAAGAACTAAACTGAATTTAAAGGGTAAATAGTGGTACAAATGGATAACGATATTTGCTGATACTTCTGATATTCTTTGACTATTGATGGGATTAACCCGATCAGATGGCGGACCAAGAACGTAATATGAATCAAGAAGATATAACCACTCGATAATATTATTTTATTGAGTAGTCAATTGTCTCTCTCTTTACAATGGCGGGTTCTCCCCCTTTTTATAGTATCTCTAATAATATAATTAAAATTATACAAAATGGAAAGGATTATGGAGATCGTGGGGTCGTGATTCCCTCTTTTCTGATCTCGTTCTCTTCCCACTCTATCTATGACCCAATGACGTGGGCCACGTGTCCCACTCCCTTATTGATCCCATGACTGGGCCGTCTTTCTCTAGCTGCCATATGCGCACTAATGGGCTCGGCCCATTATCTCCATCTGTCCTTACACCTTTTGGGTTATTACAGGCCTTTATTTGAGCCTGGAGTCGGGTCTACCAGACCCGATATCCATCACAAGCCCCCTAGTTTTCTGGCGACGTGTCGCTAGAAAACTAATAATGAGCCGCCTTCGGTCTTTGTGTCGGATTAGAAACGTCGCACTCGAGTACCTCGGGTCCATCCTTTCAACGGATAAAAACCCCTTTTGGACTCGTCTTCTTCTTCTTGCTACTGAATCTTAACCCGACCCGAATTCCGACTGCAATTTCCCAAATCCTTGTCCCTTTCTCCAAAATGGCTCCTACGAATCCTGAAACCTGGACCCATGGACCCTCCATTTTCAAGGAGAACGAACTTCGAGAGGTGGCCGTGCTCCTGGGCAAGGGCTTCCGGGTCCACCATCCCGATGCCGTTGGGGGGATCAGTTTATCCTACAATCCAAACCCCCAAAAATATATGGTCATGCAATACCACTCCGTGGAAAATGGGTTTAGGTTGCCCCTCCACGGTCTGCTTCGCGACCTCTGCCTCCATTTCGGATTTGCTCCGCGTCAATTGACTGCCAACGCGCACAAATATGTCGCGTCCTACATCTTGCGGTGCTGTGCCCTGGACAGAACCCCGAAACTGGATGAATTCCTTCTCCTCTTCAGTATCGGTGGTTTCCCCTTCTACAGCCTATATCCCCACAACCATTTCCCAATTTTTGAGAAGGTTGAGTTCAAGTATGAAAAATGGTCATTGAGATACTTCGTTATTGAGTTCCCGGCTCACAGCCCCCTTGATCTACCGGGTGTTGTCCTCCGCCGTTCCATTTCCCGGACGAAATTTGCTGCAGCAGAATTAGCGGAGGGAGTGTTCAACGCCTTGAGAGAAAAAGAAGGTCTAATTTCACACCACTCCCTTTAAGACGCCCAACTGTACAAGAAGGCGGGTTTTTACCACCCCCTTGGTCCTGACCCGTTTCCATTTGAAGGTGTGCCTTCTCCTGAGAGATCGAAGTCTCCTTCTGCTGCAGAGTCCAACCCGGCTATGAGCTCTACCGGGAATCAACCCCAGGGCGATTCCACTGCCTTGGTTATTTGCAAGCCGGTTGCTGCACTGGAGGCTGTTCCTATCTCTGCCATTCCTGGGCTCAGGAGGCCATCCCATCCTAGAAACAACCTAGGGAAGGAGTTACTGACGATGATTTCCTTCCCAATAAGCATAGGGGTGATGGCACTTCTGTTTCACCCAGCCCCCTGTCAACTTCTTCTGGTACTCAGAATACCACCTCTGCTGCTGCACCCGGAGGTTTAGAGCTACCCAATCCGGAGAGCCTGGATCATGAGGCAGATGAACTTCCAGACCAAGGACCACATAAAAAACCAGCGGTGCAGCCTTAGCCTGATGCAAACAATTCCCTCCCTCAAACTGCATCTGCTCCCCAGAAACTGGAGGAAGAAGTTGAGGGGCAGGAAGAACCAGAGTCTTCTCCTACAGCAGAGAAGGAGATTGGAATTCAGAAAGTGCCGGACGCCCCCTCCACGGCGGAGAAGGAAGCTGAAGAGCAAAAAGATGCCGAGGTTCTTCCAGAGATGAGGAGAGAGACTGGTGGTCCCAAAGTGGTGAAATACAAAGTCTAGAGGAGGGTGAATAGACTTTGTTACAGATTTAAAATCTTTTTCGTTTCTTTTGAAAACGTGAAAATGAGTGTTAATCTAGAGTCCTTGTGAACTTTAGATTTTGTGTGCGGAATTTTGGTAGGTAGAGTGAGCAGTAAAAAATATGGATAGGTTAGTTTTCACAGTTAATATGATTGCAAGTAAGAATAGAGATAAGAGAGAGAGAGACACGCAAACTTTAACGAGGTTCGAAGGTGGGGTAATCCTTCTACGTCCTCAAAATCCACTATGTAGTTGGTTGTTGAATAATGGACCAACAATTACTCTTGTGTGAATTTCTGCACGGTATATCTTCACAAGACCAATGTTGCTACTGCACTCGTGCTGGCTTTGTTGTTCCTTCGAAGGTCAAGCTTCTTCAACAACTGCAAGATCCGAACAATAGGACTTGCAAGATCAACTTGTAAGAGAGTTGACCTATCCCCTTTTTAATCAATAAGTTTGATCAAAAGTAATATCCTTGAACGTGGTGTGGTGCTTGAGGCAAGGAAACCTTCAAGTGTTTATCCTATAGCTTTTTGGAAGGGGGGAAGTTTGCTTCTGGATAAGGAGTTTAAAAATCTCTCTTTATCAAGCTTTCTGAGCTAATTGTGAATGAGATAGCTTTTGTGATTGCTTCGTTGTGTTGTTGTATCCTCTTCTTCTTCTCTCCAGTCTTCCAAGGATGCTATTTATAGCTGGATTGGATAATCTATCCGTTGAATCATAATAGACTATCCGTTGCATTTGCTGGCTTCAATTTTGAATGAAGATTGTGATTTGAAGATTCTCTGTTGACGTGGGCACTTGGACGTACCCAAATGTTGAGAAAGGATTCCTTTTTTTT